GGCTGCTTCTGGTGTTTTATAATTCTACTTGGCGAAGAATCATGCTTCGTAATTAGGTTTGGACAAATAATATTGATATATTAATAATTAATAATCTAGGTTCGGACATTCCATAAATATTATTTATCTAACTTTGGTATTTTAATATCACTTGTACTAATATAACCCTTTGATTATTTGTAATTTTACATAGTGAGACACTAAGTGACTAATATATCCCTGACTTTGATTTGTTTCCTTCAATTAGCTATTAAATTCTAAATGTATTTTAAAAGCTTATAACTTTTGTATTTCTTATCGGTTTTACATATATTATATATCAAATTAATCATTTTTTGATGATCTTCGATTTGACATCCATATTGTATATATGTAATAAATAAATTATATTTATCTTTATAATAATAAAGAATAATAATATTTATTAAATATCGGGCAACCCATTGTCATGTCGAAATTCTATGTATAACAAGCAATCCATATTTTCTTTTTGTAATCCACTTACATTTAGTTATTTAGTTCTACAAAATTGAATAGATTTAGATAGTTAGTGGGGACATATATTTTCTTTTACTGATTTTTTTGAGCAGAGGCTGATTTGAAGAAGGGTTTATCTTTATAATAATAAAGAATAATAATATTTATTAAAATTTATTAGAAAAATAAAATTATTTATCAATTGATATATTTATTTTTAATGTAGTTATATGTTGTAAGTTAAATTATTATTATATTATGACACAGGTAAGTCGCACAAATAAAAAATGTCATACTAAATATATAATAATATATATATTTTTGTAAAAGATATTTAAAATTTCAACTACTTTTCCTCATTAATTTTAGATTTTAAGAAAAAAAAATAGCAAACACCTGTGTAATACACGGGTGTTGTACTAGTAAATAATATAATACGTGCATGAGGGATATTTTCGTTGTATAGCAGTGCAATTCGTTAAACAAAATAGCATACTATACAGGTTTTTATTCTCGGTGCATCATGGATGAAAGATTTGGCAATAACTTCAAAAATAATATATTGAAAATGTGTTCTTGAAAGTATAAGAAAATAAAATAGAAGTTCTTTATATATATACATATATATATATATATATATATATATATATATATA